GCCCGCCTGGACTGCCTCTCACCTTTGCCCACCGGACCACAAAGATGCTAAGCTAATCAAATTCCTCACTCAGAAATTTAAGTCAGATCAGAAACTGCCTCTCCTTGCTTCAACAACTATAACATAAACCCAGGAGAAGCTTAGAGAAGGTTGGCTTAGCAGTGTGGCCTGCCAGGCAAAGAGCTGCCACGGTCATTCTGCTCTGAGTTCTCGCTGGGCCTGAATTCCAGAGCCCTTCCTCTATAAAAGAGGCTCAATTCTTTTCCTTCCCCAACACTCCTACTAGGAATAATAAAAACAGGCATAGATTAATTAATAGCATTTAAGAAAGAACATAGGAAAAATGTACGGGAAACTAATTGAGTAAAATACCCAAAAAAGAGTGCTCTTGACTTAGCCAGCCCAGTGACAGGAAAGGTGCAGATCAAGAACACCATGTATGTCACTGATGTTTGTATTTATTTTTGTGTTGCTTGTTGTAACTGTTAGGAGGAGGCTAAGGCGACTGCTTGGCTGGTAGCATGTTGAACCTTACAAGCACAAGGACCGGATTCAGTCCCCAGGATCCACACTAACAACTAGCGACCAGCACATGGGGGCAGGACCATATCTTCTGTGCGCTTGTCTCCCAGCTTTTGGGGCCCCCCAGCTTTTGCTCAATGAATATTTGCTGGAACAGAACATAAACAAAATGGCTTTTGCTAACGGCTTGGGGATTTTGCTTTTAGCAGAGAATAAAGGAAATGTCCTTCCCTTCAGCTTCTCCACTAAAGACAGCATCAGTTCCACTTACGGGGAGCCCTCCTAAGGATGACGGGGAGGAATGTAAACCTCACACAATAACCATGTTAGGCAATAAATGATCAAATGCTGCTGCGACAGCAAGTAAACAAATCTGTCACTTCTCCCGCTCCCCGTGCTGATGCATCGGCTGGAAGTGAGCCTGTTAACAGAAGAACGTAAGTCGTTCCGCAAGTTTGCCCCAGCACCTTCTGAAACTTATATCCATTCGCTTCAAATGCCGCCTCTTCCTAAGTTGATTTTCTCCTCCAACCACAGCAACCACAATCACATCACATGTGTCATATCCATGTGGTCCAAATGATGGACAGGAGCCCTCAACCAAACGTGTCACCATAGCAACAAAGGGACTACATCTGCTACTCTCCACCTACCATGGTCCCATCAATTACTTAACATGCCTATATTACACGGTATAAATGAACATGTTCGTTAGCAGCAAGAGTCAGACCTGAGAGAAATCCCAAGCGTCAAACAGCAAAGTGACCACAAAACAAACATATTCTTGTTGAGGGTGACATCACACAGTATAAAGGGATGGAGGAGAAACCCTTCTTAGTTTTGGGCGTCTGCTTGAGAAAGACATGACCTTGTGAGCTCCCAGCTCTTCTTTGAGGGACACAGGGGCTCAGGGAGGAAAAAACACATTAACTGTACATACACCTTTTATCAAAGTTACTGAAAATAGAATAATTACACGAGACAGAGAGCCAAAGGATGAAACTCATTTTAAATTAATCTTCTATACTTTGGATTTGGTTTTTATTCTGGCCTGTTTTGTGGATTATTTCTCATCAGGAAAATAGGAGACGTGCTGATTGAGGGAACACACGGCAATCAACAGGCAGCTGTGATTATCCCTCTTTCTACCTGGTCACATCTCAACTGACTTCCCCTGGGAGAGCTCTAAAGAGAATCTCAGAGAGGTTCCCACTGTTGCCTTGATAAAGGAAAAACGTTTCTATCATAAGAACCAAAGAGAGATTAGTTTGCATCCAGAGTATCCAATCACACTGGAACATACCTCAAAATGTTAAGACCAATACCACAAAAACTACCGGTTCTATCTTAAACTATCTCCTGAATTAATCTGAGCTGGGTCCAGGTTAGGGCTGTCCTCATGCCTCCTACCCACAGGGATCCAGACACCGTGTCAGCATCGACAGACAGAGTGAGCACTGGGAACAGAATGCGGCTCCTCCATTCACGCTACTGGTTCACTTCACACCAGTCATAGAAAAGAGAAGAAGAAGAAATGGGGGTAGTCCTCCAGAAGATTCTGTTTATTGGTAATAGGTAATAATCAAATAAATATCTATCCAAAAAATGGTTTTTACTTGGTTAAGAATAACTGACATGCCCAGAAAGTGAATCTCTAAGTCATCGACAGATTAAAAGGCATATATAAAGTCTGCAGAAAGGATTCTTATCCAACCTCTGCATCCTGTGTGCCCATGCCTAGCTTAGCACACATTGTCTAAGTAGTAGACTTTGAGTAGACTGTAGAGATGACTAAATGATTCATTAAAACTGTAGTTTCCAGACCGGTAGTCCTTCTACCACAGATAATAATTTTATTATGGTAAACATAAAAAATCACATCTAAAAACCTTGGTATATAATTATTTTACTATTCATACAGAAAAATATGTGGAAAATATTAAATATTTACCAAAAATAACGGTTTCTCTCTCAAAACCCATCTTCCCCATAGAAAAACATCACGACACTTAAAATGAGATCTAGGGTGTCCTTTCTGTGGCAAATGTCTCCTCTAAGTGGATAAATGCTCACATAAAGCAGCCAAACATTTACAAACACTTCACACAGCACTATAATTCTATATATATACCCACATAAAATAAAGGCATCTACCTTGGGGATCATTTATGCAGCTAAATGTCCTTCTGGTTAGCATATAACAAAGCTTAAGACAGATAACTTTTCACATCTGACAACACACACAGAGTGAATTATGGCCGCTGTTCGGTTCCTATAATTGAGTGAATGCCTTTAGACAATTGGTCAAATGTTCACCTCTTATTCTCAGTCAGCAGACATGCATGCAAATGCGTGTATATTTATGAAATATTATGAGACCCATGGAGAACAGTAAGCTTCAGGAAAGTCCTTCCTCTGAGGGTTTTGGGCTTTATAATTCTCTAACAACTTTGGTTGTTACATAAAAGAAACAATATAAAAATGGTATGTAAAGGCTGCCATGGCTTAAAAGGGTGTCCCCTAACGGCCCATGTGTTAAAGGCTTGGAACCCAAGAGAGTGCTATGGGAAGATGATAAGACCTTTAAGAGGCAGGGTCTTCTGAAAGGGCCATAGGTCATTGGGGGCATGCCCTTGCAGAGACGAGTCCTGGTCTACTACTTTTCCTCCCTATCTTGGATTCCTGGTTCCGGATGCAAGCAATCAACACTAGTGATGAGATGGCCCCCATTTTTGCCACCCAGCACTTCTACCAGATGCCCAAAGCAATGGACCTACCCAACCTTGGGTTGGAATTCCTGAAAGCAGAAATCAAAACAACACTTTAGTAAATGTTTTTCTCTACATAAGTTACATTTATCATTTATTTCATTACAGAGACAGAAAGCTGACTAGCCAGGAGCAAAGTAAACTGTCCTCTCCCAGATGGCAAGAGCGTCATGGGCTCTGATCACAGCATTCTTTCTCCTTTCTTGTAAATAGCAGGCACTCTCATTTGCTACAGAAATAAAGATGAGGCTGTACTGCATAAAGCTAAATACAACATTGCACTTAAATATTTTCCTTGGATTTTGTATATAAATTTTTCTTTTCAGATATCAATAGCTAAACAGACATACTGCTTTTAATAACAAATATATATATACATATATATATATATATATACACTTCAAAATTGTCCAGGGATTTCATGTGACTTATGGAACAACCACTGTATGATAACAACTATTAAACATGGTGCAAGCCAGAGAGGTGGCTCAGTGGATATACAAACACTCACTGTGCAAACTTAAGGACCTGAGTGTGGTCCTCAGAACCACAATGGAAAGAGAGAACCAAGTCCTGGAAGTTGTACTCTGACCTCCACACACATTCTCATACTCACACACATACATTATATACAGAAATATATATGCAAAAATATATTTATAAATGGTACAAGACTATCAAAGAACAAATATGGAACAGAAAGAGTGCCCCCAAAATAAACCTCCTCCTACAAAATCATGATTGTCTCAAAGTCACTAGCATAATCCAACAGGTAAAAATAAAGACGCTAGAATAACTAGAAACCTTGACTACGACCCCACCTCATTTGGAAAAGGTAATATAAAACGGAGAGGTAATATAGATGAGAATAAGTGATGGAACCATAAAGCTGTTGGTGGAAAACGAAGGAAAAATGGTGATGTAGAGAGGCAAAGATTTCCCAGGTTACCGAACGAGGCGATAGCTCGTGTGACGCCAACATGCAGATGCTCACTGACAACTTTCTTTAGAAAATGGTGAAGCCAGAATGGAGACAAGAAGTTGAAAGTACAGGTGGACACGGGCTTTCTAAACAGGATTTCTACTGCTCAGGAAATAAGGCCAACCATGGACAAAAGACATCTCATAGAATTAAAACGCTCCTGCGTAGTGGAAACAGCTAGTCAGGACATGAGACGGTTCACAGAACAGGAGGAAAACATTGCCAGCAGACAGAAGATTGATTGATATCTACAACATATGAGGAGCTGCAAAGAACTAAAGAAGTCAAATAGCACAGACAAAGGAAATGAACTGAAGACAGTTCTCAAAAGAAGACACATAAATGGGCAATAAACATGAAAAAAGTTCAAGCTTACTAACCATCAGAGAAACACAAAGTAAAATTGCATTGAGATTCTCTCTCACCCCAGTCAGAATGGCAGTCATTAAGACAACAGTGACAAATGCTGACGGGGATGCAAAGGGACCTTTATATGTTGTTGATGAGGTGGTAAATTAGTTCAGCCACTATGGAAATCAGTGTGGAGATTTCCCAAAAATAAATTAAAAATAGATCTACCATATGATCCAGCTCTACCAGCCCTAGGAATTTGCCCAGAGGAGTCTGAGCCAACCTACAACAGAGACACTCACTCACCAGTGTTAATTAGAGTCAGCACAGGGGCCCAACAACAGAGGAATGGATAAAAAATGATACCCAGTTCTTACCTGTTTCACAACTGGTTTGGTGACATCACTGCTTGAAGGCCTCACAGCAGAATTCAACAAATTGAATATGCAATGGGAGCCGCTAAACCAACTTCTGCCACCACTGCTCTGAAATTAAAAAAAAAAAAAAAGATGTAGTTTTAATTTCATTGAAGAAGAATCAGTCAAAGCTTTCAGCCTGTCAGAATGGAATTCTCCACATTGATAACTACATGGTATCTTAACTGGCAAGCCTGTTCCTGGGTTAAACTGATGTGCAATGTAATATGTCACAAGTGTTTGGGTCATAGATTTGTATCTGACATGTCACTTTCTATGTCTCCTCCTGAATCTCTAACAGGAAACAAGACTCAGGTACTAACACGCTGTAAGCTGGAGACCACGGTGTACAGCATCAGGTCACCTACTGCAGTTATGACGGTGTGGAGCCCCCTCATCATCCAAACCTGTCCATCTGCTATTTTGATTGTCTTCATTGCTCTGCTGTGAGTTGAACTTTCTCTCAGTCAACTAATACTTAACACAGCGAGATAAATGTCTGGGTTTGCAGAAGGAACTTTAAATGAACTGGTTAAACACAGTCTGTGTTCCCTAACAGATACATGCATGGCAGAAGGGCCTAGTGACAAGAAATGTTTCTACAGAAACTGTTGGTATGGACTTGGAGTTTCCAATCTACTATGATGCCATATCCCTATTTCCAGAGCATCTTCCAGAAGGACCACAGAGAAAGGCATAGCACACACCACCTACTGATGAGCCGATAAAAAGGTTAGGTGATGAACCAATGGAGCACCGAGTAACAAAGTAGTCTCTCTATGCACTCAGTGTAAGAAAGCAGAAACAAAAATACCAATGGCAATAACCTATACTCTACTCCAAAGCACACTCAGTGTAAGAACACAGAAACACAAACACCAATGGCAATAACCTATACTCTACTCCAAAGCACACTCAGTATAAGAACGCAGAAACACAAACAACAATAACCTATACTTTACTCCAAAGCACGCTCAGTGTAAGGACACAGAAACACAAATACCAATGGCAATAACCTATAGTCTACTCCAAAGCACAGTTGTAGATTGGCACCTTTACAGTGCAAATGTATATTTTTTTTCCTAAGCAACATCACTTAAATAAAATAGTGGAGTACATATTTTGAGAGGTTCTATAAACATTTTCTAGAAAGTGTGGATATCTACTCTAATTTTTATATAAAACATAAAAGACAACAGTGAAATAGTTACTTCGTTGCCTTGTTATGACTGAAGTCTAATTAAATAAAAAGGCTGTAAAATGGGATGTGTTTGTGTAAACACTGTATGTGTAGTTCTCAAAATAGGTATATGCCCTGGCCTTTGTTTATACGGGTCTGAATTTGAAATTGCATTATAAATACATATACTTTATTGTTCTAAGTAAGGAATTTATGCACTGTAACAACAAGCAGGTAAAGAAGAGCAGCAGGTGGCCCTGGGAAGACAAACACAGCCATCGCCGCATTTAATGACTGTTTTAGCTCAACTCACGGGGAACAACGTACCTGCCTACTGGTGAAGTGACAAAGCACCGACTCGCCCCTAGACTTACCTAGGCTGCTGTAATTATAAGTTTGGACTAAACAGAACAGATTGCTTCCATCTGCCTCGAGTGTTCCTTGCAGGTGCTGCAGCCTAATGAAGACCGCACCATCAGGGAGGGCAGCAAGGGCTCCTTCCCCGCTCTCCACAGCACACGCTATGGGCCTCCTCCACAGCACACGCTATGGGCCTCCTCCACAGCACACAGTATGGGCCTCCTCCACAGCACACGCTATGGGCCTCCTCCACAGCTTTGTACACTGTTGGTCAAAGACCCCTACGTAAAGCTCAACTGGGTATCGCCAGAAAGTATCGTGGACTACACTTATGGAACAGTAAGTAAATGCTAAGTAAACAAAACAATCAAGAAACAGTATTTCAAGACCCCCAGAGCAAGGACTCTCACGTCGAAATCCTCCCTTCACTCAATTCTGCCATAGCAAGATTACAACCACTGGCGCCCAACACCTTTGAGCCCGCTACTGCCATTACCTGAAGGACATTTTAAAATTTCCAATTAGGTCACTAATATCTGCTCCACATTTGGAGATGCCTTGGAAGTTAGAGGGAGGTTATTCTCCATATCCCCATTCCCTCCCTCCAGCCCCCACAGACCCATCACTCTGTGAAGAGCAAGGTCCCTAGGACAAAAAAGGGAAACAGTGAAGCCAGTTTAGGCAGTGCATATAGGAAATCCTCCATACTATTTTAGCAACTTTACCGCAAATCTAAAATTATCCCAAAATAAAAGTGTTTCTGTCAGCGATGACAGGCAGGACCCCAGGCCACATATGAAATGAGGAAACTAAAGGAAGCTGGCAGATTTAGGAACACAAAAAAAGCAGAGGCCTAAGAAAGGCCAGATCTCAGCTTCCAGTTCCCAACTTTGTCAGGGACCAGACAGGCATCAACAATCCTTCCCATTGTAATGAAAATCTTGGACCTCCCCCAAAGCCCCTGCCCTGCAAAGAAACCATTCTTCAGCCAAAATAATATTTCCAACCCAGACCTTAACATGCCTGGCAGAGACAAAGAATGTAACAAAAATAAATATTTTAAAAATGTATTTATACCTATAAACACAAGCGCCTTAGAAGAATAACTGTGCTATGCTATGCTATTCTATGCTATGCTAATTACACTACACCTAGGTGTATACTACACCACAATACAGTATTGGAAAGTGATTCCAGGAGCATGGAGTAATAATGGCACACCCTGCATGCTAGCCTTCTGATGGCCACCATTACTCTTGCCCCAACCACTATTTACTTGTTTGTCAGCCCGAGAATGACAACAGAGGTAAATTTCACACTTCACACAAGAATGCACTTGCAAATGCTGCCCTGGGTCTCAAGGGCACAAGTCACATCTGCCTAATGTATTTTGTACCATCCCTGGCTCAGTGCCCCATGAAGGTAAAGAGTTTAATAAATGCTTCTGGCGAGTCAGCTTTCTTCCCAGCTCATTTACTTTCCTCAAGTAAAATTTATTAAGTATTAATTTGTACAAGGTTAGCTCTATGCTGTTTACATTGTTCCCAAATAATGTGAAATATATACCTCAGGAAGAAGTTCCCAAAAACTCCAGAGGAGAAACCGCTGTAAGGGTTGCCTACATTTTCCTGGAGTGGGGGGCAGATGTTTCAGGACTATTTCTCCAAACGCACGCATAACTTCTAGGGCGTGCTCACTGGGGAGGCAGGAGGGTTATAAGAGCAGAATAGTGGAGAAGCAGAGTTTTCCAGCGTCTGAGCTGCTCAGGCCAACCCGGGGAGTCAGCCCTTACTTTGTTATAGGACTCTGCGGGCTCTGATACCAAATTATTAATTTGGGGTTAGCCTATGAGTCTGAGCCTTTCAAGGGTACAAACATCAAACACTGAACCCGAGAGCCTCTCTACCAAGACCACTGTTGAATTTCTGGTTCAGTCAAAGGTTCTGGATTAACGGTGTGCTGCTGATCACCAAGACAGTACATACAAGGCAGCGTGTTCTTTCCCACCCCTGCACCCGAGCTCCAGCCTGGGGCCACAGCAATAGCAATTAGCCTTCAGTTCTAATGCTCTGACGAGGAACCTCTAGATTGCCAGACCTGGCAAGAGGTTAAGGACTCCAAAGCCACAAAATGAGATAACAGTGGCCAATGGTCAGACCCCGGTGCACAACCAGCACCAGACTGCATGGAGGCAGGGCCCCAGAGGTGCACATCACACCAGACTAGACTGCATGGAGGCAGGGCCCCAGAGGTGCACATCAGCACCAGACTAGACTGCATGGAGGCAGGGCCCCAGAGGTGCACATCACACCAGACTGCATGGAGGCAGAGCCCCAGAGGTGCACATCAGCACCAGACTGCATGCAGGCAGGGCTCCCAGAGGTGCACATCACACCAGACTGCATGCAGGCAGGGCCCTCTTAGGTACTGCACCTGCTTTGTCTTTCCTACACATCAAATTCCCCAGAGGTTGTTTTCATTGGTAAGGGCTGTGTCTCTGAGATAGTCTACCATTCAATTAAAACTGAGTTCTCAGAGCAAAGACCCACGTAAATCAGGAAATGCAGTTTGTTACATGGCCCCTGCTTTCTCACCCCAGCTCCATCTCTGCCTTCTGAGCACCTGCCTGGGTGAGAGCTTCCTGGCTGCTTGGTCCTCCTACGCCACCTCCTCCAGCCTTTGCTTCAAAACAGTCCTTTCAGGCTTTGCTTCTAGATTCTGCCGTCCTTTGAATCTTTCAGACTCAAAATATCTCAGGAAACAAAGAGCTCAATACTACTCCTGTGTCCAAGATCTGCAACAGCTATCTTCTTCTTAAATAATATATGACATGATCTCTCTGAAGAATACTGGCCTGCACCTTGCTTTTCGGGGCCAGATGCCCTCTAGCTCTGTGAATGCCTCTTTTTCTCCGAGGCAGAACTGGTTCTCAAAGTGTTCCCAAACTCAGCGAGGGGCAGTGGTGCTTTCCTCTGGGACGCTGGAACCTTCAGAGCAAATGCCAGGACTGGTGGGGCAGCTCAGCAGCATGACATCTGTGTAGTATGTTCCAAGTTCTTGGTTTCTCTTCTGGCTCCAAAATTAACTGGTTAATTAGTAATCATAGGTGCCCTTTTGTTTATTTAATACCCTGGACTTATTTAAAAGCTGAACATAGTACCACATGCATGTGGTCTCAGATACTCAAGAAGCTGGCTCAGGAGGAACGATTGAATTCAGTATCCAAGGCCAGTAATATCAAATACTAATCAATGCATATTGGATGGAAGGACATGATAAATATCTAAATATTTATTTCAATAATATTAACTATATTATTGGTATGTAGCATATATAATTAAATACATATTTTCCATATATAGCATATATAATTAGATAAATATTAAGATATTAAATGGGGTTACTAACTTTTTAAAGTTCCTTCTAAAGTATCTAGCCTCTTTCTCGTAGGGTATTGTCTCTTGAAAACTCAGATGTGGCTATTCCAGGATAAAGGGAGAGCTATTGGCACTGTTACTCTGGGTAGACC